CTTCCCTTAGCCTAGCCACACACACACACACCCACACACCCACACACCCACACACACACACACACACACACACACACACGGAACCCAACAACTCCGAGTTCCCTTTCAGGACCCCCAAAGTGGTCCCCGCATTTTTCGCCCCGACTGGAGATCCCCAATGCCCTGACGGCGACAGCTTTGAAGAATTGAACCATTTGGGAATGGGTGAAAATCACGGGACATCCAAATGCTTACTTAGCTTCACGATGTGTCATGCAAATGTTCTGTGGACGGGAGTTGGCATCTGCCAGGGCCTTATCTGGTGCTGAGCCATAGTCTGCGACTCAAAAAGCGCGGCATGTGAGTGGATCAATCCTCCCCCGAAAAGCCTGCAACCCTTGATCAGTCTGTTTCCGTGTATACGCCTCTAAAATGGACACGATATTCAATTGAAGATGGATGCGGGGCCTTTTGGCGAAGGCCCGGGGGATTGGGCAAGATCTCAGCCCCCTCGGCCTCAACCCCCTCAGCCCCCTCAGCACACACAAATCAAACCACAGCATCCCGGATACAGCCGCGCTTCGCAAAAGCCTTCACGCAAAGGGCTGTAAAGCAAACTACCGCACGTCGATTCTGGCCGCCCTTCGCCCGGGCGGACGCTGCTGCATCTGCGGCAATTGAACTGCTAAAGAGCGAACTCACATCCACTGGACCAGCACGGCCAACCTCCAAATCCCAATTCCTCCGGGCTCATTCAGCTTCCTCCAGTAGAGAGGTTAGAAGAAGTTGGTACCCGATTTTTTTCTGGTTTGTCTATTTTAGTAGAAAAACCGTATCTCCCAACCAAAAAGGGGAGAGAAGGACACTACCGGGGCACCTCGTCAGTGTAACAAGGAAATTCATCCTAGGTCCCGCAAGGCCTCCGTGTCTTGTGGGCTACATCTCAACTTCTGAGAAGTGCTCAGCCCGAAAACACCGGCCCTCCAGAACCTGCAACTGCGGTTTTAGGGTCTCCCTTGACCGGGTTGCGGGACGGATGTCCTGGCAAGCGGTTCCGTGTTCGGACCCCCCTGCAAGTGCTGGACGTGTCATTTTTTGAGGGTACCCTGCTCGGAGTGAGGTTTAAGAAGAAACCAAACATAAACCCAAAGCCCTTTTTGGGGAAAGGCTCTCCAAATCCGGGACCCCCCCTTGTCCCTTTGGCTGGCTGAATCCAAAAGGAAACCCGAAAAGCGGCTCCCACTCCACCCACTCAATTTCTCTCCCTGCCGAAGGCACGTCCTGTCGGGTGGTCCACCAAGGCTTCAGGATCTCAGGACAGAAGGACTCGACCAAAAGGGGCGGCGCGCGGCCGTTTTCTGTGTTGTAGAGGGCAAATGGGGAACCACCTCACAACCCCCAAACCATTACTGCAAAACCACGAGAACTATTCCAGGGGTAACTTCCATTTCCATTCTTTCCAGAAAAGATGGATGGTGGATGGAGGGTTGGATGGATGGGTTGGATGGGGGATGATGGATCCATTCGGTCGGATCCGAATCTTTCTAGAAAACCACCAAAAACCATGGGACACGGCGATCGTTGTTTTTTTTGTTTTAAGAACGATGGCTGAAACGAATGGGGAATCAACCCCTTATAGTTTTGTTCATTGGTTGGACCCCGCAAAAGGGAAATCGGGGCTTTCCTCAACAATATCAATTCTCTTCCACGTCTTTTCGAAAGGTTGGACCTTCCGCAACACGATGGTTCTCCTCTTGGTTTCCCAAACTCCCCGCAGACGGGAGCCTCAAGAACAGACCCAAAGCCCCCAAAACTGGCCGTGGCTCAAAAAAAATTGTACTGTCAGTGAACATCCATCCCGGAAACATCGGCTCTAAAATGGGCGGTGCGCCGAAAACCCCAAGATGGGATCCCAAAACGGTTTTGGCCCAGTCGGAACCACCGTGGCGGCCTCCTCAAAGGCGGGTACGCTCCGGGTCAGCCCGGAAAAATGGAGTCACTGAGGACGGAGCTCGCCGGAAAGATGGCGAAGATGTACCCCAAAAGCCCGGGGAAATGGAACGGACGGAGAAAAAAACCCGGCTCTAGACTTTCGAGCCACACGAAGACTAAAATTCCAGCATGAGTTTGAGCCGCACCCGGGGTCTGGACCAATTTTTTGGGACTTGCCCAGAAGTTTAGAAGTCTAAGTGACTTGACCGATTCCGGGCCAGAGCGTCTCTCCATGTCTCCCTGTCTGAGCGGAGCTTGAAAAACCATGATGAGAAAGAAAAGCCATGGCTTCGCACTGAGCTATCCTCGATTCAATCCAGGATTTCCTGGACAGTGGGAACTGGGGCAGTGTTTATTCAGAAAGACTGCACCCATCCTTCCTCATGAAACAACATTGGTCTTTTGCAAGTCTTTCTGAGCTGAGTCACACACAAGTCCAGGCTCTTTTCGCTTCTTACCACTCCGGGCCAAGGTCCTAGCTGGTCTGGCCGTCATCTCGCAAGCTTTGTGCCGCAAAGTGTCCCCAGTTTTCCAAGTTTGGAGGTTGGATCAGGGCGGCTGCTTTTCCAGGAACATGGGTTGAAGCGAAAACCTTGGGGGGAGGGGGGGGAGATGGTAATCCGAAACGTCCACCTGCCCCCCCCTGGAACCACCCTGGCAGGTCGCTTTTGGGCCACCGGGCAGCCACCAAGATGAGCACCGCCGCAGGGATGGAGGGGCAGATGGGCGCCACAGCAAAGGCGGCCCTCCGCTGCGTGTCCACCTCGATCGAGTCAGCCGGGGGGGGGCATGCGAGGAGTCAGCAGTTTGTGACGGAGGGAGGGGGGGGCATGTGAGGAGTACGTAAGGGGTATGTGACGATACTCGGTGAGGGGTATGTGGGGTATGTGGGTTTGTGGGGGGGGCGTTTGAGCAGAATGCGGAGTGACTTCCTCTGGGCTTCTTGTGGGCCATTTGCTGGCAATCGGGGAGGCCTAAGTGACCTTTGGAAAAAGTCGATGGCACTGTTGCCATCGTTTGAACCTGAAATTGCCAGGCGAAGCGTCCCTTTTCGGGTCCCAAAAAGGGACAGGATTTCAGCGCTTGGGATCTGCGGCATTCAAGATGGTAGGCCTTGTAAGGACTGGTGGTTTAAACATGAGACACCCCACCCCCCAAGACTCCAGAAAACCTACCTCAAAAAGACTGAGCCAAAACCACTGGCCCCATCGGTTGGTTCTGGCAGGCCATCTTGTAGGCAGAGTTCAAAGCATAGAGATCAATTTCATCACTGTGACACCAGATGACAGCAAAGTAGTTAACGCCATTGGGCTCGTTGCCGGTTAGTTCGGACGGTAGGATTGAAAGGTTGACAAAGCCTGCTTGAACTTCTGGCAGGGTGATTGGTGGGATTGACCTGACAAACCAACCACCTCCTTTAACCCTTCATACCTCATGTCTTCAAATCTGGACATTTGGCTTCTGGGCATCAGACCAAGATTCTTGCTCCAGACTAAGGATTGCTAGAGGGCAAATGGGTCAGAAGCCATGATTGGCATTACATTGTTTGCACAGACTTATGCAAAAGACTGACTGCCACACGCGTGGCAAAAACAAAAACAAAACACAAAATGCGGTGTGTGTGTGTTTGTGTACGGGAAAATTCAGCGCTCACAGCGCTGACCTCTCCAGAAAAAAGATCGTGGTTGAAACATGGGTATGAGTCAAAATTAGGACGCGGGTTTCAGTCCATGCTTCCATCCAAGGCTGCCCATGATGTTGGGTACCTGTTTTTGACCCACAGCGGCATGTTTCAACCGGAGCATGGCACCCAGCGCCAAACGGAAACTCGCGCCTGGGTATCCATGGCTCCCGCATCAGACTCTCCGCGTGCGGATAAAAAAAACCGCCCCTTCTGGGGCCGGGCTCAGCCGGGAAAAGCGATGTAAATGACATGACACGGCTTGCAAGTAATATGCACAAAAGGTGCTTTTGAGTGTACGTGCATAACATGTGTATGTACATATATATATATATATATACCTACATAAATATGCAAAAAGCAAATGAATATGTATACATGATGCTCTGCCGCCGTGTTCTAGGCCTCAAGGCTCAGCCTACAGCTGGAAGCCTAGCGACCAGCGTCTGGTTGAGGCGGATCGCAGCAAACTGCTCTGCCAGGGTTCCACTTGTTCACCACAAAATAGGCTTAAACCCAGGGGTGTCCCTTTGGGGAAAATCAACCACCCTGGGTTTAAGTCTATCTTGGGGTAGTGAAAAAGTGGAACCCTGTGCTCTTCAACTGGTTAGAGTCTTTGAGGAGTCGTGGAGATCAGTTGAACCTTCCGTGCAGTGAGCTCATTCGTTGACCATCCCTACCACGCAACAAGTACTGGAAAACCCGGATTGAGGAACCCCTCCTTCCAGGGGTTCATCACTTGAGGGGCCCCACCACACCCCCCTATGAATGGGGCGGGTTTAACAAAGTCGGGGTCAACATTGTCTTTGAAGCATGGAGCACACTTCAATTCCAAAACGAATCTAGTCCAGGCCGTCCCAGTGAGATGCCAAATGCATGAAAGCTACAAAAACCGTGGACATGATTTCATGGCGACCAGTACAATGCTAGTCTAAATCCCATGACCATAAATAATCCAACTTAGGGAGTTTGACCATGGCTCAAAGGTGGGTTGCTTACCTGTAAACTGTCCCGGCCATAGAAGAAAAGGATCGAGTTCAAGTTGCTGCAGCGAGCTCTTCTGTGGGGCCAAATGCACATCTTCAACAATATGACTTACAGTTAGTTCGGCTTTTTGGGTAGCTCTTCCATGTCCTCCGCAAAATAAAGCAACAGCCTACATACCAGTAATATTGGCCGTTCCTCACATGGCCATGGGGCAAAATCCCGTACCCCCAGTGAACATCCCAATCCCCGCAGAAAAATAGGTTCTAAAATGGGTGGTGAATTCACCTACCAACCAAAATGGGATCCCAAAACGGTTTTGAGAACCACAGCCACATGCCAGATCGGGTCCTCGTGCTTTGACCTCGCCTGAGCCTCAGGTTGATGTCTCCACATTCGGTCTTCATCACCAGGCACGACCTCAAGCGAGAAGGAGCGCCACGCAAGCTTAAACGGCTGTGGTTCTCAAACCGTTTTGGGATCCCATTTGGTTGGCAGGTGAATTCACCACCCATTTTGGAGCCTATTTTTCCGTGGGGATTGGGATGTTCACTGGGGGTGCGGGATGTTGCCCCATGGCCAAATGAGTTTCTCTCAAAACAGAGGTGGGGAACCGCCCAACGACGAAACAAAAATGTGGGTTTCGCAGCTTCCTTGTGAAACAACCCATAAAAGGGTACCTCTCAAAATGCCAAACTCCAATCCAGAGGTCCGTTTCCCCTTCGCTGAGAATCCCGGGTTGTTCTTTTGGGGGGCGAGTGGGGAGACCGCCAAAAACTTTCAGTCAACACAACTAGGTGCCCTATAGTCTCCTTCGCAAGCATCGCCCCAAAGGACAAGCTGAACTTTTCAAACCAAAAGCAGTCGGAGAAAAAAAAAGAAAAAGAGAAAAACAAGTCACATCAGAAACCCTGTCAAGTATCCCTGCAGCGTGGTGGCCATCCGCTCCTCCAGAAACTTGCATGGCTTCTCTCTGCGTCCATCATGGAGCAAAGAGTTGCTCTTTTCTCCCGTGCCATGTTAGTAGAACCCCTCCGTGTTTTGGGCCGTGCCGCGTTAGTAGCACCCCTGGCGTGTTTTGGGAAAGCCCGCCAAGTGCAAAAAACATGAAAGCATGAGGAACGGCCAAGGACACAAGGATTGCGAACATCGAGCTTCAGCTGAAAGTCATCACCACTGGGCCCAGGGAAAGGGCTGGAGGCCCAGGGAAAGGGCTCGTTTTCGCGGGCGCTATGATAGGGTCCAATCCTTTGCGTAGGGGCAGGCTTGATAAAAGCTTCCATGTTTGTGTGCGGACTTCACTTTTTTCTGCAGCCGGAAGGGTTGCCAGCAGATCCCGTGGTGACATGGAGCGATTCGGGTTTCCAAGTGCCATGTGTGCGATCCCCCTCCCGCAGCATGCCAAACTTCGTTGACAGGGCTCGCACATTCGTACCAAGCGACCCGTGATAACAGGAGCATTAAAACATGTCTAGTAGCGTAGAATTGCAATATGAATAATCGCATACCGCCACTCAGCCAGACTTTCCATCCGGTTCGCCCAAGTCTGCATCATCTCAAGCTGCCACCAGCATGAAAACTCCCTTCGGCAGGGCATTGCGGAGCCCTCCGGCGATGGTAATGCTGACCCCATATGAATCAACCCCCCAGTTGATTTCACTAGGGTGTCCCTGAGTTGAGCGGGGAACCATCACTTTTGGAGGGGAACACCCCACGAATAAACTGGGTTGATGAATATGGCGTCAGCAGTACCATTCCCATTCACATCCGGAGAATGTGTTGGATCAAATGATCCCTTTGCTTGCTGGTGCGGTAGGCAGGCAATGAGGGAATGAACCTGGGGATTCCCTTTCAGGAAACCATAGGAATGGTTTACATATAGAGATCATTCCTTGTCTCATTTCCTGCTGAGCACCAGCAAGTTTGCTGACAGACTGGCAGTTGCCTACCACTGTCAACCACTGTAAGTGTTGGTCATACCTGCAAAAACCTGAGCCTGCATCAACGGAACAGCTCAAACTGCCTACGTCTGGCCGTGAGCATAAACTGATAGCAGCGGATCTGCCGTTGCTCAACGTGAACCTAAGGAAGGGTTGGTACACTTGGCACACCCGGTCAATACCTTTGTTGGCCCAATCTCGTGCTAATCCGACAAAGATTTCATACGATAGGTACTCTCTTCAATTCAGGAGGTCCACGAGGCACGTACCCTCAACTCTTTGATGCGATTGAACAAATCCATCTGACGAGTGGCCTTCGCCCCAGGCGACCGAGCTCCCGGCGCCATGGCGAAGTCGAAGCGTTGCGAGCAGAGGATGCAATGGGCAAGTCGGGACCGGCTCCCCGCAAGAACATGGGGTGTCCCTTTGGATTTGCTGGAAGAAAAAAACATGGATGCATGATTGCACTAGCAAATGACTGGAACCAAACTAAAACCAGTGGAATCCTTACAAGGTGTGATTTCTCAATTGGACATGGACGTTTCGGGAAGCATCATTCACATCTGGGGTGATGTCCGCCCATGATCAAGACGGCAAGCCCTCCCATGGATGCGCTTCATGCTTCCACGCAAACATGCGGATTCAGAGCCCAAATGACGAAAATAAGAATAAAAAGAACCTGTTTCTTGTTGAACACCACGGGGTCCTTTCCCGAAAGATCTAAGAAATGCTCCCAAGCGACTTGAGGGGAGAAACCTGAAACCTTAAGCCACGCAAGCCACACGCGAGGATTTGGTTCGCGGCTCAGCTGTCCCACGGGATGAGATGTCTCGTTTGGCCACTTTCTGAACCAAAACAAAAAAGAAGACAACTTGCTGGAAAAAAATCAAGGACCCCTTCAGAAGTCTGCCCACTTCGAAAAATACAGACCCTTGTACCAAAAAACTGAACGCTGGCCGCATGGAAGGGGCGGGGCGGGGCGGCAGGCAGGCAAAGGCGGGGCGCGCCCTGGGCGAAGTACCTGCGGCGGCTCCTTCATGGGGGCCTTTTGCCAAGGAAACATGTGGCCATGGGCCAAAAGCCAAATCGTACCCCCAGTGAACATCCCAATCCCCACTGAAATGGACTAAAATGGGTGGTGCTCCTACCCCAAAATGCTGCCTGTCTAGGTCCGCCAGTTTTCGAGGTTAGAACAAGGGTACCCGATTGTTTTTTCTGGTTTGTCTATTTTAGTAGGGGAACCGAATCTCCCAACCAAAAAAGGGGAGAGAAAGGGCACTACTAGGGGACTTTGGGACCCCCAAATCAGAGCAAACCAGGCTGACTAGGAGGACATCATGTTGGGCTCCATGGCAAGGTAGGGGAATACCATCAGGGCCTTAATTTGAATGGGGCTCATGGAAGAATAGTGTTGGCAATTATTTGGCCCCTCATACGGTGGATGGATAAATCCTGCACCAGTTGGCAGGTGGTTTATCCCAGTATTAATAGGGTTTCATCCATCCCAACTGACTGGTGCGGTTTGTAGATTTTGTCCACAGGAGGGTACTCCCCTACTCCAAAGACCCCCTGCTAGAGCAAGTCGGCCCCCTTATAGGTTGCTTCTGGAGAGCTTGCCAGTTCTCCATCGGATTCCTTCCAAGCCTCCGGTCGGGCAGTTGGTGCTGGCCTGATGCAGCGCCACTGGCTTCCCGCTGTCCGTCAACGACATGAGTGGGAGACACACACTTCGCCCTTCAAATGAATGACGAGGCAAGCGAAAGATGTTGGGGAACTAACATCTTCTGGGTCGCTCAAGGAGAATTCTCCCGTCACGAGAACAAATTTCGCAGCCAAAGTTTGCGACCCGTAGGCGCGACGCCAAACATAGAAGCTGGCAGGGTTTGCCTTTTGACCGATTCTCTTGGGGAAATCAAGTTGGACCCCTCAAGGAACTTTCAGGTGGTCCGCTGTTTTGCTGCGAACCGGTGGTTTCAAAGGCAAACCCCGGAAGCAAGTCTGTTTGATACAAGTGGATCCTCGAAATCTGGTGCTTTCAGCAGGCTAAATTCTCGGCAGGTCCCCTTGCCGCACCCGAAACTCATTCGATTGGGGGTTGACACCGAACTCAGACTCGGAAATGCCTCACCAACGAAGATGCTGCCATTCATGGCACTGGCGTGTGCCCCCCAGGTAAACATGACATACTTGAAGGACACCTTAGGGTCATGTGGGATATGCAAACCCCCAGACCCAGACCCTCGGAAACTCTTCCGGACATGACCCCCTTTCGCCTTCTGATCTGTGAGGTTCTTGTTTGGCTTCTCACGCCTGAGGCCTTGTGAATGACCTCTGGGAGTCTGGGACCAGCCCCGTCACAAGCAAACGGGTACTTCCAACTTGGATCCAAAACCATCCGCAGAATCAGGGTCCGCGTGCCTTCCATTTTGTGTGCGCCCTATTTTAACCTTCGGTTTCGATTGTGTCAAGGTCTCAAATGGCGAAACGGGGTTGAGCGAGGGCTCAGCTTGAACTTGGTGGAGGTTGGGGGCGTGCTAATTTGTTCAGTGTGTTCCAATCATGACGTAGTCGTCGTGGGGATTTATGTCGACCTACCATCTTCCACGTGTCTGGTCAAGTCAAGTCTTGACAACTTCAAACAAAATGATTAGTAGCCAATGATCATTGCTTGTTTGCTGATTCAATGTACTTTTGCTTGAACTATCCTGGCACGGGCATGTTTTTTTAATACGGGACCCTCTGCTGGACATGAGCGGTGGGGATTGATGCCCACCAGCCGCAAATAGGTTGCTCTGGCCAATCTGAGCTGGCCTCATAAACCGTCCGGCCCCTGACACTCGCCTGTGTCAGTTTGGACTGCACGGCCACCATGGTCTGCGCGGGAAGCGCCCAACTTGCAGCGACACCCCAGAAACATGACTCACAGGGGTCGCTACAAGAGGAGTACCCTCCCACTGCTATATTTTAGTGGAAGAGAGGAGAAATCCACCACCACCGAAAAAGGGTGGTCCCATGATCAGGAGATTAAGTAATGCCTGGGTGTTTCAAGTGACCCAAGAACCATAAAACCTGACCGGCCTTGAGGGCAGGTCGTCCAAGATGTGCCATGCTTGTTTTGGGAGCCGGAAAGGCTGGCCCCCCCAGTCGTGAGGAAGACGCCATCGTGCCATCTGGTTGCACCACTGTCGCCTTTTGTAGATCTTTTGTAGATCTTCATGCAAGCTGGACAGAGTTTTGAAAGACTACCACTTCAAAAAAGGTAACCATTGTCGACTTCCATTGTTTGAGATTGAGCAACCGCGGGAGGTCCTCACAGGGCTACCAAAAAACATGCATGCTGGCCACACCAAAAGGAAAAGAGCAGATGCTTAGGCTAAACCGGTTAAAAGTCACTCTTTTGTTGCTCGGGATGCGCCATAAAAACACAGCCTCTGAACTCCAAAAGTTTGAAAAAGTCTAAGGAACCTATGGCTAACCCCGCAAGGTCTCTTGCGTTTTCCGCCGGTCACCTGTGAATTTACCCGCCTGCGGCATCCGACCCAAGCGGTTCGGTGGTGTCCCGTTGAGAAAACCAAATCCCGACAAACTGCGAAGCCAGACCAATCCAGGGCTAAGTTTTGGTTGGTCTTGGAGCATCAAGGGGAAAAACTGATAAATGATATGAAAAGACAAGCCGAGTCTGGCAATGGCTCACGAGAACCGTGGCCGAACAATCAACTGGCTTTTTTTCCAAGGAACCCTGAAGTTGTTGCTTTTGAGATGTGCAAACCACCAGAAAAAGGATGACTCAAAGGGTACTTTTGGGCACACGGGCTTGCAGAGACTGGATGACGGCGACGCGCTTCAAGTTGAAAAGGCTTCATAGCCACTCGGCCAATACAGGCGCAACGTTTACATGCATCACACATCGGCTTTCCGGTGCCAATTCCCCGGAGAGAGATCAGCCCAAAGGTGCTGCCTCCGCTTGCTCGCGCGTTGCCTTTGTCTCGCCTCACCTTCCGGCTCATGACGGTTCGTTAGAATAAGGGTACCATTTTCTCTTCAGTCTGTTTTAGTAGGGGAACCGAATCTCCCAACCAAAAAAGAAACGGTGAGAGGTCGGGCACCAATTGCTGGGCCGAGACTCGGTTCCACCGCCCCGCCCAGCCGCGCCTCGATCTGCGGCTTCAGCGCCAGGAGAGCATTCTCCAGCCGCGCCAGGCGCTGGGAAGCCTCGGAAAGGTCGAAGACGAAGCTTCCCGAGGCGCGCGGGGGAAAAAAAACGCGTGGCCCGTCCTTTTCACATGAGCCACTTGCTCAAAACCCGGTACTCAAATGGTCGTAATCCCAGAACCATGTAAAGAACTAAGAAGGCGGAGATCCGCAGCTATTTATGGTTGGGAGTGTCCCTTGCTAACCTCCATCTACCCGGGTTTTGATTGTGGCTCACATGGAACCTGGGGTCCCTGTAAAAGGAAAATGGTCTTCCAGGACCCCCCCCAAAGGTCAGGTTCCATGTTGATTGATGGGAGGGTAAGTCCCCTGGCAGGAAAGGTGAGTGATTCCCCCATGTCCCTCGGACCAAAGACCACCGGAAGTTGTGACCGAGCCTCATGCGAGAGGCACGAGCAGGGACTTCCGGACAGGAAAGGAAAGGGCCTGGATGAAATTGAGCCAGGGGATCCTTCACAGTTTTGGTGGGAGGGAACGCTGTGAAAAAAAAATGAAATTGGGGACCAAGACATAAAAAACAAAATTCAGGTTCTGCCTGCTAGTTTGTCTACCCTAAAATATGACCTAGGTATATCTGATTCTTTCCATATTTCGTACCCTGTTATATCTACCCCCTACTCCAAATACCCACTTTTCTAGGTTTGTTTTAAGGAAAACCTGGCTTTTCAAGGTAGATACCTCCTTTTTAGTTGAGGGTCGATATGATACCCTAAAAGAAGTGAGTATTTGGAAAGAAGTGGGGAGTATTTGGAGTCGGGGGGATTTTTGGAGGAGACCCGACCCTTCCCACTCTCTCCATCTTGGGGCCCCAGGCCTGGTCGTCCAGGGTGGCCTGGTGACGGACCGTACCCGGCCATGGAACTGACAGAAGGTCCCCCCGCAAAGCTCCAAATCAATGCATAAAGGTATGAATTTTGAGAAGGGACCCTGTGGTGGACATCATTTAGGTGGGGAGGCATGTCCACCAATCACCTTTGAGGTGGTTCCCTGTTAAAATTCATGGCCAAATAAATAAGTAAATAAAATAAATGAGTGGAATGGAATGGAATGGAATGGAATGGAATGGAATGGAATGGAATGGAATGGAATGGAATCGAATGGAATGGAATGGAATGGAATGCGATGCGATGCAATT